AGATGAATAATAGAAATATGTGTTGTTAGCCGTCACCTTCAAGTTTAGCAAGTAGATCTTTGCAGGTAGCAGTAAAAAGGGTGAAACGCACGAAATCGAAGCGACTGTCCCTTTCAATCACAGAGGTGCAATAAGCGGCAAAGGTTCCATTTACTCACGCCATTACCCTCACAGATTTCCTTTTCCTTGTGAAGGCACAAACAGAACAATTTGGGAATGTACTAAAATATCGGAATAAACCATCTTCCTTGCATATAACTTGCTTATTAATGTGATACTCGATAATTAGGTACTCTGTCAATATGTCTTTGTGGTTTCGATACTCAATTTGCTATACCTATCAATCGCTTGTAGTGTTCAGCCATGTAACTCTTTTGGAAGGAACTGGGGCGTGCCTCTTATGCGCATGCAAGTTACTCGCTCCTTAATTTGTGCAGTTAAATCACAACGGTTATTCGTCGCTTATATAAGTAATCAGATGATCCTTCATTTATGAAAGGGTTTTACACAAAAAAGATAGGAATTCCATTATTTGCACCTAAACTTCTATACAATTGATTTGAAACGTAAGCAAATTAACAAAAGCAAACTATTCGTAACGACAAAAGTAACAAAGTCTGTGTCGGAACGGCGAAATTGTAAAGTGTACAGAAGCAATTCAATGGTTAACAATAATTTTCTAAAAGGATATCGGTAATACTTGCAGTTAAAACAGGAAGATTAATTAAATCTTCGAGTCTAGTAATTTCGAAGTAGGCCAAGAATAATGTATTACGTGATGTAACCGGCTCCTATCTCAAAACTTAAAATAGTGGTGCCATGTAAAATGTAATGTCGCCCAGATTCGATGGAGATGCTTATCAAAGGATGCCGAAGTAGGTGTAATGTTTTGGTCCAGACGCCCGAAGTAATACTAATGATTAATCAAATTTTTGTTTCAATTCATTTAATTAGTCTGTTTCACGTGTAAACACAAAACGATTATTGCGTTTCTGCCTTGTATCCAAGTGATTTGTTTATTTTGTTTCGTTCTAGATAAATAGATTATTTCCTAGAAGACTCTTATTTTCGTTATAAATATTTCTTTTTTCAATCATTCATGAATTAATGAATGCTCTTATTTGAGGAAAAAATTGTGTACTTTCGTAGAAAATTGTTGATTGTAGATAAGACAATTTCGCGTAAAATTTACTCACGCGACAAAAAGACCGTCTAATAGGCGAGTTCTAATTGGTTGGTGGGGTTGCTATGCTATGGTAATTGGATGAAAATTTTCTAATTTGTCTAAGGAGGGAAATCACATGAAATACTGGAGTTGGCGTAAGAATGAGACCTTTAGGCCGGGGTGCTGTTTTATCTAACGGAGGAATTTTACAACACATATTACAGGATGTACAATTTTGACGTTACCACTTTTATATTTTGTTACATACTGTACTAAATGGATATAGGAAAGAGACAAATTTTAACACAAATTTCATGTTACAAGTTGTTAATGTAAGGATTGTTCAAGGTACATACTGCGTGTACCTATTTCACAGGATTCAAATTGGTTATCTTCTATGTATACGGAAATTTTCGAAAGTAATACTAATAATAATTTTTTTTAAACACATTATCTTATCGGAAATGGTATTTTTCTATTATAAAAGCATACTTGTACTTTTTTCAGAATACACATGGTTTACATATAAAAATCAAAATGTGTCTGAAAATGTCATGTATTTTTGGGGAAATACGTAATTAAGACCTGATTTCCATTGAACTATTTCGAAGTATGTTCTGAAATAATCACAGATCATTATTTTTGCTTTTAATTTCGGCAAAGTTTTTGCCTCGATTTTTTATTATACCATGGCCTCGATCCAATACTTTATACTATACATAACACAGCAAAAGCAAAACGTAATTCGTGGCTGTATTTTTAAATTATTTAGACAATAATTTCCTTCATTACTGCAGCTGGAATTGCACGCCCTGCACTATGGGAGATCTCAAATGAGCAGTACAACGAAAGTGATACTTGGAAAAGGGTTTCGTTTAGTTTAATCGTCGGCTGTTGGACGGTAGAAGCGGAATAGTGGATTTAATGGTACAAAAAAAAAATGAGAAGCCAGTATGGACGCGTCGTCGTTGAGCTTTTACGCTATAATTGAATAAATAAACCGAGGCTTACGACTTTTATGTTTTCTTTTTTCCAATTTGTAGCGGAGGTAAACGCCATTATTATTTTTAAAATAATAAACCGACGAACCGTGTCTGTAATTCAATTTTTCTGCGGCTCAAGCAGTAGATTAGGGAAACTTTGTAAGTGCGACCGATTATCGCCCCTGAGTAACGAATTAGTTATTTTCATTTTCCAGCCTGCTGTGTGCAGTGATACATTTACTCAAACGTCACAAAAAATTTAATATCTACAGCTCGGATGAAACGATTGGTCTTTTTCTTATTGCAGGAACTCCCATTTTCTCTTTGTGAAATATGTACACTGATATAATACGTTTTAGATTGCAACGACTGAAAGTATATCTTACAAGCGTTTTGTTTGGGACCTAAAATTTATAACGTAGGGTTGACGAACTGTTAATCGCCTTTGGTATTTTTCTGTTGTACAATTTAGGTATCCACCCAAAATTAAATGTAAGCGATTATGTAAGAAATGCTCAGATGTATAATTCCTTAGGAAAAATCGCTAGCCTGGTAGGTACGTCGCGTCGTAAGGTTTTCTGAACAAATCTAATCTTTCCTACAATTACGAATAGTAAGAAGTATTCTAATTAGACTTTTAAACGAATTATCAAAGTTAGGTGAACGAGAAACACTAAAGCCGATTTTGTTATGTCAGAAGCACAATGCGGATCCTGTCATGCAATGTGAAGCATCTTGAAACAACTGCTCGGGAATTATGAAAAGAAAAAAACGATTCTGGCATGATATGCAAGCGAATTTTGGAAACTGACAAATTTGTGCCTTTTGTTACTAAATTTCTTTCAACCGATTCAAAGATGCAGAGATCGTCGCATGATCTGTTGGAAAGAATCAATTTGTGCGTATTGTAAAAGTGCAAAGCTACTAAATTTTCTTTTATCCAATCCCGAATTGGTTTGTAATTGAATTTGCTCTCCCTTTATTTTATGATTTTGCAAACCTCTAGACATACGTACAAGCGCGGCGACATTTTATTGTTGCAATCGCATTTGATTTATTCGTTTAATAGTGATCAAACCCATCTATTTTATGGTCACGTTAAAACCGTCTATAGCACGAGTTCCATTTGTTGCTTGTATTGTGAGTCTCTTTTCACACAGGTATTTATCGTTTAACCTCCTCAGTTAAATACAAGTAATTCATAATCCAGAAACACTTTTCAATTTCAGTATGTTGTAATGGATAATTACAAATGTTTTTGATGTGATTATTTGAAGAAGAGTCACAATATGAATTTCTCCAAAAAGCTTAAGCAAATTAATGGGTATGCTACAGATTTGCGTTTTGGGTTTCGTAGGTATCAGATTGATTTTTACATGAGTATTATTTGACCTAGGAAATAAAGTGGATTCAATGTTCATAAAAAATAGGATATAGATACCTGGGTGAATCGTTGAACTTAAGTGGGAATAAGTTCACGAACTGAAGTTTTGATATGACAACGAAACATAATTTAACTCTTTTCAAAAATCAAGAAACGTTTCCCAGTTAAGCCTTATTGAATTACACAAAAAATGACTTTAAGTTCTTAACACATACACGTAATGGTTTACGGTCCTTTCAACTGTTAAGAATTATAAAGTTGATTTTTTCTATATCATCTAAAATAGCTGCAATTACCAATACTGCTGACCTTACCCTAGGGTAAGGTCTATGTTATACAAGAATCCCTGGATACTTACGACGTTGCTAAATAATCTGGACTAAAGCTACTGTAGATTCAACTACATTTATGAAATGGGATTCTCCTAATACAGAGGTTGTTTTTAGGTCGGTTGCGTACATAGTTACTTCCAAACTGCATTTTATGTGAAGTGTAACACGCGCCCATTTGGAAATCTTCGGTCAGGCGAATAGTAAATCTATGCGCCATCAAGTATTTTATGCCATCAAGTTGAGTGTGGTAGATGAAATGCCTGTTTAATTACACCGACTGATAAGGCCCATTTCAGTAAAAGTGCTTTCTGGATTTCCAACTGTATGATTGCGCAAATTCCCCTGCCTTGTGTCGTTAAAATGTAATCGGCGTATGATAATCATTCTAACCGTGTAGCCAATGACACTCAAATAGATATCTATGGTACAATTTGTCAACAAGTTCGTTGAACGAGTACATTTTACGTTTTTATCGTGAGTCGCTGCTTTCGATACAAGTAACTTACACCATTGTATGGTTATCAATTATTGATAGCCACTTCACTGTTTGGTTGCTACGTTAACAAAGCATTCTTCACGAAACCAGGATCTTACCATCTTGGAAGTGATCAGGGAAGTGATATATACGCCATTCTTAAAATATTTATTTCTAGAAGAGAGTGTAGCACGTTGGAGCCCACTCTTGTTTATTCTTTTGATTGAAGTCAGTATGCATCGGCACTCCTTTTAAATGGAAGGTCCAAGACCTCTAAAGAAGTGTAACTAAAATATTTTGGACAGTTTTTGTTTCAAACATCTTGGACCATCCCTTTGGAGGCGACTGACTGAAGTTTTTATCTTTTCTTCTTTGTCCCCGCGACACTACCGAAGGTGCTGAGCAATAGCATTGAAATTTACTAGTAATCGTCCATGAAGGCGATAGCAGTTGCTATGTAATGCATATTTTTGGTAAATCATTCCGTGTCGTAATCCCCTTCACATCTCAAGTAAAGCTGCGTAGTCATGCAGATCATCCCACTTATCGAAATGACACAGTTTAGTTAGTTTACTAATCTCAATGACTTTCGAATTTTCGGTTGAAGCCTATACCTATAAAATACATGATCGATAACATATTTCTGCAGTGATTTAACAATATGAAGCTGCTAACGTTTGGTGCTGTGATTCTCGTCACAATCGCGAATAGTTTTGGTGCAAATATACTCGGAGTAATACCGACACCATCTCATAGTCATCAAGTAGTATTTTGGCCAATATGGAAGGAATTATCACTGAGAGGACACAAGGTCACAGTGATTACAACCGATCCCATAAACAACCCGAAACTTGAAAACTTGACGGAAATAGACGTGCACAGTGCCTATCAGTATTTCAACTTCAATATGTTCGAAATGGTTGAGAAACCATTCTGGAAAATGTTCTCTATCTATGCCGATGTTTTAACAAACATGGCGGACCACATCATTAAGAACGATGAAGTGCAACGCCTAATTAGTGACGAAACCGTCCACTTTGACGTGGTAATGGTGGAAGCGTTTCACACTGCCGCACTTGGATTTGCTACAAGATACAAATGTCCGTTAATTTTGATGTCGTCATTAGACGGTTCCTCATTCGCTTACAGAGAAATTGGTAATCCAGCCCATCCCGTTTTGCATCCCGACTTTATGTTGCCAGTTCAAAACGACTTAGCGTTTCTTCAACGTCTCGCAAGCACATGGAATATTTTCTTATCAAACTTAATCCAAAATTATTTGGTCATCCCTCTGCAACAAGACTTGGTGAAAAAGTATTTTGGAGAAGGTTATCCGCCAATTCAAGATATATTTAAGAATTACAGTGTCTTCCTTGTTAACACCAATCCTCTGCTTCACCCAATTAGGCCACTTCTTCCTAACATTATTTCGATTGGTGGTGGAACCCATCTGAGAAAACACAATGTTCTGCCAGAGGTAAGCAGCACGCCTTATTGTTTAAAGTGCCTTGCTGAATTTTACTGCTCTTAGAATCTCCAACGCGTATTGGATGATGCCACAAATGGAGTTATCTACTTCAGTTTAGGCACTAATGCTAAAAGCAAACATCTTTCCTATGGTATCCGAAGAGAGATATTGGAAACCTTTAGAGAATTGCCTTACACAGTGCTATGGAAATTTGAAAACGATAATATGCCTAACGTCTCCGAAAATGTGGTCATATCCAAATGGTTTCCGCAACAAGATATCCTTAGTAAGTTTAAAATATCCAAACTTCATTGTTTACGGTGCGCTTTACAGAACATCCAAATGTGAAATTATTCATAACCCAGGGAGGTTTACAGTCGTTGGAAGAAGCTATATTTAGCAATATACCGATCGTTGGCATTCCTGTGATGGCGGATCAAATGGTGAACGTTGCCAATGCCGTTTCCAAAGGTTTAGGTTTATCGCTAAATTACAAAGACATCAAAAAGGACGATTTCAAGTCTGCAATCCTGGACGTCATTAATGATCCAAGGTGAGGACACTGCCGATTGTTCAATTAAAGCATTAACCGGTTCCACAGGTATCGAAACAATGCGAAGAAAATGGCTGAATTTCTACAAGACCAACCGGAGACTGGAGTGGATAGGGCGGTTTGGTGGACAGAGTATGTAATCAGAAATGGAGGGGCTCCACACCTTACAAATCCTGGTATACAGTTACCCTGGTACCAGTACTATTTGTTAGACGTTTTTGGATTTGCTTTATGCCTTTTATTTGCTGCCGTTTACACAATTATTGTTTTATGTAGAGCAGCGGCAAGAATTAAGCTACCTTTAAAACGGTTTTTTAAGGTTAAGGTCACGTAAATTATGGGCGAGTGCATTGAATGGGGAATTATTTTTATAAAATAATGTTTACGTACTATCTATAAGTGTAGAAACCAGTTTTTTTACGTATTTCTTAAAGTAATTTTTGTATATTGAATATTTCAATTTAATAAGAAAATCCGGGAGTTTATTTCCGGTCTAAAAACAAAGTTAGTTCGTTTCACTTGGAGTTGCAGTTCAGCGTTTGATTTTTTCCTTTTAGAAATTTTGGTTAATGCGTAATTTTCACGTTCTAATTTTATCGCTTTTACATCGTTAAATTTAGATAGGTTGCTTTAATTAAGACACATCTGGTCAAGTTTGCGTATAGGTGCTTCAAAAAAGGTTACATGGTCGTTCGCGATAAGAAGTTCTATTGTTACGCGCGTATTCTGGCCTTGGGAACGAAGACACAGGTGTTTCGGATAATTGCTCATTTCATGTTGGAGAAGTGAAGCGGTTTGGTGCGTTCGTCGTGTGTGAGATTTATTTGAGAATTCTTGAAGAAAGATTTTACCATAAACTTCGAAGTGGTGTTTCATTAAATACTGGAAACAACAAGAAATCGAAGGTGCTGGTTTCGCGACGTTTGAAGAGCGTGTGTTCGGTGGTACATTTGATTTTCTTCCAACCGAAAACAAGCGAATACTAGATACAGATACATTGAAAAGTATTCAAATACTTTAAAAAATAAGTATTCAAATACTTTAGAATGTATTCGAATACTTTCAAAAGTATTCGAATACTTTCAGAGGTATTCAAATACTTTCAAAAGTATTCTAATACTATCAAAGGTATTCGAATACTATAGAAAGTATTCGAATACTTTGAAAAGTATTTCATTAACTTACTTTGAAAAGTATTCGAATACAGTAAACAGTATTCAAATAGTTGTCACTCAAATACATTAAAAATTTAAAATAGTATACTAGATAACACATACTTTGTGTTTGTGTAAAATACACAAACCTGCGTGAAGCATTGAAAGTTGATGAAATATGGGAAAACAATTTTAGTAGCCATGATCACTGCAAGAATGTGTCAACTTTTATGCGAGTCGCTGGAATCTTCAACCAACTTTGATTGTTGAAATGGACCTGTGATCACAATGAAAAGGGTGATAGGCTAATGGCCTTAGTAGCCGAAGCCTTAGGTGGGGTTTTAGTGAGTATACTCTAAGGGAGAGCCTCACACTACTCTGGAACTTCCTTCCAGAATGTGCATAAGGAGCATTTCCCCACCTACAAAAAAAAAAAAGTCTTAATACTACTTGAAAAATCAAGTTATACTTTGTATGGGGTTAGCTTTTTTTATGTTTCTATTGTTATATACACATTTAAGGGGAGTAAAAGCGTGTTATTATTATTATATTATTATATAGGTACCTACCAGGACCTTTCTTATACCAGTTATATCCTTAAGAATACGTGTACCAGTTTTTAATGCGTCGTGCACATTTCACTCCAGGATCGTTCGGTATACAGTTGTATCGGATTTTTATATTTGATTTTGTGACAATGGAAACTTTCCCTAAACATTTCTAAATTGTTCTCAAATATTTGAATAACTTAAAAGTACTGCCTTTTTTTGAGGCCGGAAAAAAAATTGTTTGAGATCGACCGGGAAAAAACATTTTCTCATAGATTTTGTCCCGTAGAAGCCATAATTTCAAACAGTTTGAAGATTGGACTACTAGATCAAAATTTACAGCCCTTTGAATTTTTTTCGAAATTCGTTTTTTGCCCATAACTTTTTATTGAGAGGTCTAATCGAAAAAGTACGAATTGTTTTGGATTCTACGCACCAAAATTAATAAGAAAAAGTGTTTTCCCGAGAAATTTTGGTGTAGTCAATTTTTGGTAAAAAAGGAAGGTTATACACTGCCTTTTTTTGAGCCCCGAAAAAAAATTGTCTCAGATCGACTCAGAAAAAAAATTTTCTTATAGAATGTGGCCTGTAGAATCCATAATTTCAAACAGTTCCAAGATTGGGCTACTAGTTCAAAAGTTACAGCCCTGTGAATTTTCTTTCGAAATTGGTTTCTAGTCTATAACTTTTGATTGAGAAGTCTGATCGAAAAAGTACGAATTGTTTTGGATTCTACGCACCAAAATTAATAAGAAAAAGTGTTTCCCCGAGAAATTTTGGTGTAGTCGATTTTTGGTAAAAAAGGAAGGTTATACACTGCCTTTTTTTGAGCCCCGAAAAAAAAATTGTCTCAGATCGACCCGGAAAAAATTTTCTTATAGAATGTGGCCTGTAGAATCCATAATTTCAAACAGTTCCAAGATTGGGCTACTAGTTCAAAAGTTAAAGCCCTTTGAATTTTCTTTCGAAATTGGTTTCTAGTCTATAACTTTTGATTGAGAAGTCTGATCGAAAAAGTACGAATTGTTTTGGATTTTACGCACCAAAATTAATAAGAAAAAGTGTTTTCCCGAGAAATTTTGGTGTAGTCGAATTTTGGTAAAAAAGGAAGGTTAAGTATTCAAATACCTTGCGAAGTATTCGAATACTAAATATTTGTGAAAGTATTTGAGTTACAAATACAAATACTGCTTCCATAAAGGTATTTAATTACAAAATATTTGAATACTTTAAAGGATTTGATTACTAAAAAGTATTTACAAAATGGAATACTGCCCAGCTCTGATCATCAGAAACATTCGTTTCAGTCAATCCTATGAAAGAAAATAACATTTTTCAATAAGCACTAAATTCAAAAACAATGCTTGATCTTTTACTGACCATAGTACCACCACACTAATATCATTCATTAAACAATTGCTTTCAACGGATTCTCTTAAGAAAGTAGCTCATCATCAACTTTCCTTGATCAACGAGTTATATTACATTCAACAACATTCAACCCGATCATTACTTGAAAGTTTGGCTGTCTTCAAATGAAACAGGCAGCTCATCCGTAACATTAAACGAGTATATCGCGCTGTTAATTTTTGTTGTTGGTTCATTTAAGGGCAATCTAGATAACATATCTGCCTCGTGGAGAAGGGACCATTTCTTATAATCAATTTGATAACTACACGCGGATAAAATAACATTCCAGTGTATAATACGTGATCCAGTCATTACTGATATACTTTAATCAGGATTAAATAAAAATTTTAAAGGTTCATGGACGGATACCTAAACGAACGACCTTTCTACAGATATATTATGGAATCTTTGAACAATACACAATAAACATGGTAGCTAGCTTCAATATCTTGGAGTAATTTTTTCCCGCATTAGATAAAGAACTTGACGCAAAACGTATAGGATTTGCCATCGGCACCATATTAACTGATGCTATAAGAAATATCCAATGGTTTACTAGGGTCGTAATGCACTAATAATTGTTTATTTGCTATTTTCTTTCCTTGCAGGTTGCATTAAAGTCAAATTCATTTCATGATTTACCTATACGTTATATTTATCCAATCTTTGCGGTGCATCGACATCCAGTAGTTATATAATTGTGTTGAATTCTGCTGTCTCTAATTATCCAAACAAAAATCGACGATATTAACTTTCAAAGTATTTATGAGGATACTGGGAGTGCACTGTAGGTCCACATTTTGTTGTACTTTCTGTCCCACTATGACGGCCTCTTTGTGCAATGACTTCTGCCTGAGCACATGATTTGATAATGCGTGGCGAGTGGTGAGTCACATCGAAGGGCTTCGTACATTTCCTGGAGGGGTGACCAATTTTCAAGCACTGGAAGCAGGCATTTTTCTCAAACACTATTTTCTGCTTAAATCATATCGCTGCAACTGCGAAGATGAGGTTCCAGTGTAGTATGCAATTCTAACAATGGCATTTCTCTTTATTGTTCATGTTGGTGATGACGAGATGGAGAAGTTTCCGAATTTAAACTTGAAGCAGCAGGTCTGTTTGTCCATATTGGTCTTTTAGCGATTAAACTGCGAGGGGCTAATTAGCACCAGGGATGGGGAGTGGTCTTCAATGTTAATATAAATGTTCAAAATACACGAGAAAAAAAAATTAAGCGCCTACGCACCCGAATAAAATTCACAGTTGTATATCTATTTCATCCATTGAGAGTAAGTAAATAGATACCTTCATTTTTAGTCCCGACATTGGTAAATTATTCAACAGAGACAATCGATCCGATCAAAATTAACTTACAATCCGTTGTACGTTAACCCTGAATTTTTGCTCGAAGGCTGTGCAAACCAATAATCGTTATCAGCAGCTAAAGTTCGAAATCATCAAATATTTAAGGGCCGATGCTTAACTTCTGGCCCTACTTTCTGCACGAACGAGGGTAGTCGATGGAATTGCGTGTCCCGCGATCAGTTAATTTGAGAGGTATCCGAAAGAATTGCGTGCATTTATTGGGAAAACATGTTTTAGTGCGCAATAAAATTTAACACGTTACTATCTTTTTTTCAGTGCAGAGTATGTACTATACCGGGTGATAACGAAAATATTATCCAGGTGTGCATTTTTAAAAGGGCTCCAGATAAAAAATCAAAATGTTTGTCACCGATAGCATTGAAAAATGTGCATACCATAATCTAAAAAACAATTAACCGTCACTTCCGGTTTCACCGGAAACCATCGAAATTGTTTAGTTTAGCATATCAACCCTAATATATTATTGCATACTCAAATTCTCGTTACATTGTTCAGAAATTCCAAGCTTGAAGCCAAACTAAAAACCAATATTTGTAAATACGCCACCGGGCCAATCAAAATAAGTTAAAATAGTGAAAAGATGCACCAGACTAACTGAAAAATTCATTCGTAGTTCCCGCTTGGCGTCCCACTTACCTTTGGAGGTGTGAATTATTGTGTGGAAAATTTCAGTGTTTCCTTAGATACTAACAAACTATACCATGAAAAACCTACTTTCAAATAATGAAATTTATTCTCTTAAGTACTCACAAACTATACAAAGCTCACCTGAACAATTCCACCCTTTTTGTATGTTATTAGAAGACCTCACTTCTTGAAACTCTTGTGGCATTTTTTGGACTACAACAGTTGATGGAGTCGTAAAATCAATTCGCCTCACTGA